TACCTTTTTTTTAGATATATTTCACAAAATATTTTGTCATAAATCACTGTGATATATTTTTTTCTGATATTGTTATAAAAGTATTCTTTTAACATTCACGAACTCATATCTATGTGCAATGTCATAATCAAATGCTGTATGTAAAATTGCAACAAGCAAAAGTCCACATAGGTGTATCTGGGCACTCATTAGTGATGTGCCTCCCCAGGTGTTTAGTGGATCCCGTGTGTGCTGCTTGAGAATTAGCCATAGCTGAGCTTTATTACTTGTTTGGTAGTTTCCTCATTCATGTACCTATACTATACGCTAGCTAACTCAATTTGACCTCTTCCCCCCCCCCCCCCCATCTGGGACAATCCTCTTAACACTTTTTCTGCCAATTTTAGCATTTCTACATGAATTTGAGGATTTCTGCAGGTATTGCAAGTATAAGTCCTACAGAGAAAATATGCTACCACTTTTTTTTATAAATGAGATAAAAGAAGCTCTAAATAATGTTACATGTATGACAATGCTTGTGTGATTTCCAGTTTCACACTTAGATGGCACCATGTTTATTTATATGGGCATTGTGTTTGCTTCCTAGGTAGCATTAATACACTGCCAGTGTGATAGGGTCAGAGTGATTGTATGTGGAAAGTTCATACAGAAATACAAAAATTGATGGAAAAAGTGCTATTGCTATAGGGCCTTTAGGGAGTACTGCTTTCAGGGCTTAGTGGATTATTGGGTGTGCTTACCATACAGCATAGTTTTAAATATAATTCCTAGATTAGCCAAGAGGAATGATTAGGAATACCTATTCCTACCTTAGCTCAACTTAAACTGATGCCTAGCTACTGTGCCATTTTTCCAAACTTTCAGGCAGGGTTGAAGGATATATTGTGGTGGTCACGCAGATGATATTCTGTACTGGATCTCAATTCCAATATGAACCTGAACTAAGCCAAACATTTCCAGCATGTGCTAAATGTATTGGAAATTAAAGCATCATTATGGGATACTTTAAACATGCCAGGGACTGTTTGATTGAAGAGATATGGAGTCAAATGAAGCATCATTTTATATATTTGAAATGTAAAAATCTGATCTTCTTTATGATAAGCTTTATAATGGGATAAAGTATGCATTAAGATCTGTAACATGTACCCTTTGCTACTGAGTACTGTTAGTTTTCATTTGAGAATTTTGTTTCCATATAGATGACTCTGCAAGTGCTCAGTCACCAAGGAGCCAGTTGGTACACCTATGTGATCTCACCTGATTTCCCCCTCCTCCTCTATGGGAAACATTATTTGGATGCTTACCCCTAAGAAAGTAAGAAAAATATAAAATAGATGTAAGAGCAGTGTCATAAAATTCTTTCAATGGTTTCATTCCTTGTAGGTGGACAGGGCTGTGGAGCACATGCTTCAGCATTGCAATAGCATAGAAGACAAAGTTCGGTTTATGGTTGAATGTGGAAGTGAGAGGAAAAAGGGCATTCACTTGCGTAACTGGCTTGCTGATAAACCTGTCGACATGTCAGTTACAGTGGAACCTGTACTACTTGATGACACTAGAGCTGGTACGTGAATATTTATATTATTCCTTTGTATTAAAAACTCAAATTATTTGGAAGTGTTTTTTCATGCTTGAATATATTATAATTTTTGTTGATATCTTCATTTTATGATAATCCGATCTCACAATGATTATCTTCGTTAAACTGCACAATACTCCTCAGCAGATGCCAATCAAAAATTATCCTTCTGTATGGAAATGGTTCTGACAACTAATGCTCCTTGGATCAGATCACCAAGCTGTTTACAAATGTCTTACACTGCCAGGTCTTTCCAGGTAAGCTCCTATGTGTTATATATGCTATTTAAATCCTAATTATCTTACTTAAACATAGTATTGTAAAAGACCAAATAAGTTGATATTTTTGTTTGTTAGATTATATGTGTATATGTTGCATGCAAATGACATCACGGTAAGTTTTGCATAATTATGATAGCATTACTTTTTTTCCTTTCTTTGCTTTTATTTCTTAGTTAACACATTTCATCTCGAATTATTACAGGTGAGCATAGATCCTCGAGGTCTGGAGCGTGGGCGAGTCTATTTTGCCTCTGTCAAGGCCTACAATGCTAGCAATGTTGAGAAAGGAATTATGTTTGAAGTTCCAATCACTATTGTTGTTCCTGTTATTGACTTACTTCATGGGTACAAGTACACCTGGTAAGTTGCGACAATGTTTTCAGATTTGTATTAGTTTATTTTATGTATGTTATTGATTTGATGATATTTAATATGACTGATAAATATGAACAAAATCATGGTGATGGTGAAAATATTTATTTTTGACAGTCCAGCAGAGGTTTTCCGTGCTGGTTGTGTCCGCCGTCATTTCCTGTATGTGCCAGTTGAGTCTACTTGGGCAACTGTTACTTTGAAGTCATCTCATTCTGAGAAATGTCAGCGCTTCACTCTTCATGCAGTTCAGCTGAAACCTGATTGCAGTGTTAAGACAATTGAGTTCTATAAGGTAATAAGAGCAAAGTAGGTGGTTGAACAACCAATGTAAAGATCAAATTTTAAGAGTATTTATGTGTGATATCCCTTAGTAGAAATTATTTAAAAGTTCTGTATACTGACATTAAAACTACTTATGTAGATATGGAAGTTTTAACATGTTACAAACATTTTCAGGTTGTTAATCTAGGCTGCAATGAGAGCAGCACATTTGTCTTAGGGGTGCGAGGTGGATATGCTCTGGAGGTTTGCCTTGCCCGTTGGTGGTCAAGCTTAGTGGATGGTCAGGTAGAAATTGATGTTGAATTTCATAGTCTGCGGCCATCACATGAGGAGGTAATGTGATTTTACCACAGTTTAATAAGATTTTAACTGATTATATTGATTTTGTTTTGATTGTTCCAATTTTAAACTGATCTAGCTAAAACAAATACATTAAGTTACTATATTACTTTTTCATTTTGAATATTTTCATATTTTAAGAAATATAACAGAGGATGTACTTTGCATAAACTCATTCACATTATGTCCATATTCTTTCTCTTTCAGGTAACATTATTCTGCAGTGATGGTGTTCAACGTGTGGATGTGAGAGCAGGGCTGAGGCCAGAAGAAGTCTCTCCACAAGCTTATCTCAAACATCACACACAGGTAATGGTCTCGAGAAAAAGGATGGAGAATCTCTGATGATATGACTTTTCATCTTTATTTTTTTGGTCTTGAAAGTTACATTCACTAATTTTGTTTTTAATGCTGGTCTTAATTATGGTTCTCCCAAGAATGGCCAAATGGAAAGTTCATTTTGCTCATCATAACTTAAGGAATTTGGAACTATGTGTATATTCACATATTTCCTAAAACATAGTGAAGATTCAAATTTATATTACAATAGAACCTGTTATAGCACTCTTGTCAAATATTAGTAACACCAAAAATCTCTACTAGGTATAGAAGTACAAGTAAATCTGAATATAGGAACTGGGTTCATATTGCAAGAAATATATGTTTCAGTATGGTTTTTGTTTTATATAGTTACTAATTAAAGATCAAATTCAGCAATGATTTGCTGATTTGCAATATTTTGATGTTATAGGGATTTTTATTTTTCAGATCTGATTATAATATTTTGTACATCATACTATATATTTATATGTGAAAGTAAATTGATATATCCCTGATATAGGTGCTGACACCCACAGAGAGTAAAGTGGAAGTTTTGGGTGGTCTACGTGACACAATCCCAGGTGGTCGGCCTGTCTACCAGCTGATCTTATCTTATAATCTCTCGGTTTCTAAAGCAGCAGAGGTAGGGCTTCATAAGGCTCATGTTTTATCATAAGGATACTTTCTACTTTTTTTTAAAGATTCTGCAGAAAAAAAATTGAAATTGAAATTCTTCTGTCACAAGAGGTCTGACGTAAAGCAGTCAGGTACCTCACTTGCTATGCTGTTGGTTGCAGCGGAAACACTTGTTTTGAACATGAGGTTAAAAAGAGGTTTTAAGCCTACTTTCATGTGACTTTTTCAACAATAGTCAAACAATCAAAGAACTGTTTACAACTTGAGCAGGCTCAAATGCACATGCCATGATAGCACCCTAGTATGAGTGACAACTTCCCCATAGCATAATAGGACCGTATCTGGTGTGAGTGATTTGAAATTTATGTATTTGTAATAGTGTTTGCAGTACTTTCCATTTTTTAAAGAGGTATTTAAAAAAGTATTGATAGTAATACACTTTCATATATATAAAGTTATGATGATTTTGATACATTTTGGTTGATTACATTGTTTATTTAAATATCTTTGCACAAGTAATGTTTTTGAAGTGAAAAATATATCACTAAAATAAGAGATTGTGAATTACAGTGTTTAAAAAAATGTGAATGTTTTCAGGTAACTCCAAAATGTGCTTTGCTAAGCGATGTGTTGTATGAGTCTGCATTTGAGTCACAGTTGTGGATGCTGTTTGACCACAACAAGCAACTCCTAGGCTCTGGTGATGCTTACTGTACCAAGTATAGTCTCAAGCTTGAGAAAGGCGAATATACAATCAGGCTTCATGTGAGACATGAACGACCTGACTTGCTGGAGAAGCTCAGTGATTTACCCTTGACTGTGCTTACAAAATTATCGCAAGAGGTAAGTTTGTTTCTGTTTTACAGGGTTGTATAAAGATTATTATGATATCAAATAGAAAAACTTTCTTGCTTCTCGGTAGAGCTATGATTCAACTTGTCTGATCTTACTCTTGAACCAGACTGAAGTCCTTTACCCCACTAACGACGGTAAATTTATAAGCCAAAAATAATATTTTCTGGGTGGCTTGAAATTGGCGCGTAGGTGAGTATGGCAACCTGCCTGCGCGTCGCCTGCCACTGTTGACAAAATCAGAGCACAAGCTCCGATCTGGCTCTCTCTCCGGTGGGACGCTCGGCACTGTATACTTTACCTCGTGTCTCATGTGGGACACCCGTCGTAAATGGGTTAAGCCGGGCCAGGGGCATATCTGGTGCCGATTTAGAATATTCTATGCCTAGAACATGCCTTTTTTTGTAGGCAGTGATGATCTGTAGACTGATCATTTTAGAAAATTGTTAGATATTGATGCAAGGAAGCCAGAGGTGGATTAGAGACCAGGGGTGAGTCTGATTAGAGGAACCTAGTCTTAGCCCATTGACACTAGAATAGCATATCCACTGTGATTTAAGTTTGCTTTATTTTGCTTACACATTGATGGCTCCAAAATAGCTTAGTCACTCACTAGTCTTACTTTATTCTACGTTTACCCTCTTTCTTGATTTTTGGAAAGATTTTTATTTTAGTATTGATATTGAATTTACAGAAATCCTAATGACAATAATAATGATAATAATAGTGATGATATTAATGGAATTAGAAAAAATAAAACACAAAATTCAAGAAATAGGGGGTTGGGGTGATGTCAGATAGGCCTATTAATTGACTCTTTGGTGACTAAGCATTTAGAGAATTAAGTGTAAACAAAATTCACAAAACAAAACTACAGTGGATAATGCAATTACCCGGCACCAATTGCGTTAAGGAAATATAACATTTGGGTACATGTCTACCAATATATCTATTATATCATTGTAAAGTGCAAAGAATGCAAGCATTTTTTTCTTTCTTTCTCTCTAAAATTTACTCTGATTGAATGAACTTTAAGCTATCAAGTGGCATTTCCCATACTGTAGAATTTTTGATTGGTAGATGGCAGTGGTTATAGGTGTTTGTGGGATGACATTTGTTGCATTGTAATATAGAGGTATAAATATATAAATAATGCTCCTCTATTTTATTAGTACAAGTACTTGGGATATCATGATATTTGCCTTCGTGACAGATCATTATGCCATCATTATCAGTGTTTACTCATGCAATCTGTAGAGTTATTATTTTACCCCTGTATGACTTTAGTTGATAGCTGAAATAATACTTTCATCTTTATTTCCTAAAGAGTAAGGGTACCTAAATGTGTATACTCCCTCTGAGGTAGGTTAATTGATTAGAAATGGGTGGTCCTTGGTGAGGATGATGATACCTGTGGTAGGTAGTATTAACTGGTAGCATGGTTGGTAAGGGAAGTGATGACAATGATGATGGTGGTGTTAGTGGTAATGTCTGGTATATATATATTTTATGTAATTGCAAACTTTCAAATAGTATATTTATTTCATGAACCTGAAAGGACAGTGAATACAACTTTGCTCTTTGTTTTCACAGGTAAAACTTGATGTGTTTACATCATTCAATGCTGCAGTTACATGTGGCAAGAAGGCTCAGTCTCTTTCATTGGGTACTGGTGCTGTCCAGCCTCTCTACCTCACTGCTCCCAGCCTCACAGACAAGTAAGTTTCTTTTAGATTACTTTAGGTACACCAGAATGCACAAGGAGTCAACTATTTAAAGGGAAAATAAAGAAATATAAATTTACCCCCTCTTTATGCTCTTGATTGCTGCTTAAATAACTGTTTAGATGATAATACTATAAAAGAAGCTTTAAACCTACTTTTTATTTTTTTTCTTCTAAGTAACTAGCCAGGGCCAAACAAGCACCAGGCTAGCACACATCTATTTAGAGAGTACAACTCAGAGCAAGCTCGACCATATGTGACATGGTGGTATGTCATTCAGGCATCAGGGAAGGACATCCATAATGGCAGAAATTAGGAATGAGTTTAATTGAGAAAATTAGTTTTATAAGTTCTCATATAATTATCAGATTAATTTGCCAATTGCTAAAGTACCATATGATAATGTTAACCCATTGGATCCAGATGCTTTACTGCCATGTGCCAAACATGGCATTTGGCTTACTTGAGCAGCTTCTCTGACAGATGTGCAGCTTGTAGGTTGGGTGGACATGAACAAGAATCTATACCTCCCCTTTGCAATATTATTTTTTCTTTCTCTAACAAAGCATTTTTAGCTTTTTTATAATTTTCTAGTGTCTATATTTGTCATTTGATTTGCTGTATCCAGATGGTAATAGACTATTTCCCTTACACAAATTCCATATCATCTCTCAAGGTAGTCCATAACTCATTGTAATAATAATAACAATAAGTAACATTTTGTTGTTTGTATATTTTTAATTTTTTTATTTTTTGCAATATTCAATTTTCTGTAATATGACCACTGGTTTTGGTTGCCAGAAAATAAGGTCCTACCTGAAGCCAGCCCTCTTCCAGTCATGGCTCGTGGATCATACATTCCATACTTGTTATCAATAGAAATAATGTAAAAGCCCCTTCTTAAATGCCAAGTGAGTCCAATCACCATTTCATACTCTTTATCGATTCCTGTGCCACTGGCTCGTCGGACGGAAATTGTTTTTCTCTGATAGTAGCAGCTTCATTTATATGGTAAAGATTTTAGGCAATGGCATCTATAATGAAGGTAAACCTTGAAAATTATAACATAGGAAAATAAAAGCTTTTAGGTGCCAAATGTAGCTCGCAAACTACCGATCGAGCCAGGCACAAACGGGAAACTGCTGATGTGTGCCAACAATCCCGTTATTACGTCCACTTGCCAAACATTTTTGCCTGTTGGCACTGGGTTAAATGCCAAATGAGTCCAATCACCATTTCATACTTGTTTTCGATTGAAATAATGTAAAAGCCCCTTCTTAACCCACGAACGACGGGTGTCCCACATATGAGACACCCCAAAAAATAAACATTGCTTGGTGTCCTGCTAGTGTGACGCTGTATTGGGGCTCGCGCTCCGATGCAGCAGTGGGCTGTGGCCGGCGGGTGGGCAGAGTCCGGAGCAGCCCAGCCCACCGATTTTGTAGCCACCCAGAATCTTTTATTTTCGGCTTCAAAATATACCGGCGTTAATGGGTTAATTGCCAAATGAGTCCAATCACCCTCCGATAGCTTATGATCACATAATCTAGATTGTAGGGATTAAGAAGTTGATTTAAAGAAGGATTACATAGACTATTTTTCAAAGTGAATATTATTTTCAGAAAGAGTCACAAACTGCAAAAAAAAAGATTCTTTTTTTTATTTAGAACTAAGTTAACCAGCCTACTGATAAATATTTTTTTTTTCTGCAGAGATCAGGACTGACGTTTCCCCCAAATGTTAAATAGCCTACTAAGGCCACAATTTTCCCTAAGGAAGTAATTGTGTTTTTTTTGACCAGTGATGATCCTGAAGTGATTATTTGATAATTTATGCATTTCTGCAGTTCTAGATATATTTTTATAATCTCCACATAATGAAAGCATTTGTCTACAATAAATGCTATGCTTTTCTTTGTCACTAGTGTCTATTGGAGATGTGGAAAAGTATGTATAGGTTTTACAGACATCTGATTTATTTGAATATTTATGATAGATTGTTGTTTCAATAAAAGATAGGCTAAGTATCTGAAAATATAGAAATAATTGTCAGATGATAAATTCAGGTCATGATTGGCTATATGAGGGACGGTCTAGCCCTGAACTCTTTGAAGAAAAAGATATTAGCAGACTTGCTAGATGGATAGCTCTCACTTTATATGTGTCCTTTATTCTTTGATACCATCCCTGATAAGCACATATTATTCATATGGTTGCATCTATATTAACTTCAATTCAGTCAAGTAGTTGCTGGCATAAAAATGCTCTCCAGGTGCAACATTGGCTTCCCTCCTCTGTCTCATGGGCAGATTGCTCCACCCATTTCTTGACAATATTTATGCCTATCCATTTACTGTTTAGTCAACCCAGCACTGTCAACCCTTTACTTGTGTAGTGATTTATAAATAAATGGCTTTCATTTGTTGAAAAGTTATACTTATTTGTGGATCATGTTTTTCTAAGGCAGCGTCTGTTACATCCAGAGAGCAATATTAGGCAAGCAAGCCACGTAATTAATAGTTGATGACAAAATTGTAGCTTTTAGTAAGTTTTAGGCAGAAAGTATTCCATACTGAAATGGCTTTGTTTTTCCAACAGGACACTGAAGGGTCTCGGACTAACCCCAGGTCAGGCCCTGTTAGGTACACTGTCATTTGCAAAGGATGAACAAGTTCGGAAAGCTGTAAGTAACCACAAGTTTGGGCCCATACGTACTATGCCGGTAAGAGCACAAGCTTGCCCTCTCTCCAATAATTTTCCTTGTCCACCCACTCCCCTCCCCTCCTTCATATTTCTGTGAATGTATTGGCAAAATGATAAGTAAGTGCTCAATTGGGAGGATATTTGAAAAGTTATCACAGTAAGGTACTATTTTAAAATCTAAGCATGTTCCACTAGTATACTTATACTGACTACAAGGGATTGATGTGTAATTGTTGGTTCATATTCTGAGGTGTATTATTGAATATTTCATGCTTGAATTAATTTTCCTAGTAAATTAACAATATCATAAAAGGATGGCAGAGGTAACAGGATCTGAATCAAATAAAGAGTGTTTTTTTACATTTAATCTTCTGCCAGAAGTTTGAAGAACAAGATTATTGATCCATTAAGATTACTAATGCTTTTACTTCGCATAGCCTATCTAAACAGATATGATAAAAAAGTAACATGAAAAACTTTATTTTATATCATGAATATTGTATACAAAAAATATATATAATTGCATATTTATACATTCACATGCATACATATGTGCATACACATATACACAGGTCCATACATATACATACACTTGGGCATACACACATTGACATACAGACACATACATTCACTTACAAAAACATGTACACATATTCACATACAAAAACATGTACACACATATCCACATACAAAAACATGTACACACATATTCACATACAGAAACATGTACACACATATTCACATACAAAAACATTACACACATATTCACATACAAAAACATGTACACACATATTCACATACAAAAACATGTACACACATATTCACATACAAACATACAAACACAAACACTCCCTCCTTTTCTCTTCTCTTCCTTCTCTTTCTCTCCTCTCTCTTCTCTCTTATACT